GCCGATGTCAAGATGGCATCGAGGGAGGTGACGGGTGGCGCGACGGAGGAGGCTCAGCAGCCATCCACCGAGGCGAGCAGCAGTGGTGCTGGCGCATCAGAGAGCGCGTCGTCAGAGGCGCCCGTCGGGCCACCCTCTTGATTTGCCACGTAGAGAAGCATTTGTACAAATGAGAGACAGCCGCGAAGGCAGACGTACGTATGCGTTGGGACATCGAGACACGATGAAGTGAAAGAGCCAATACCAACGCAACGAATGCATTGATATATCCTGGTCAATCACGCATCGGTCCGTCATCATAACGCAGAGACACGTCGGAAAATTTGGTGGTGGGGGCGTCACCACACCACAGCTGGTCCAATTGGGCTGGTCGTCTGTGTGTCGTCGTCGCGACCACACAGGGAGGCCCAGTGGCCAACCCTCTCATAAAGGGACCACGATCGCCTTCGAAGCCGTGCTGTCGCTCTCGTCAAGTCTCGAGTAGGAACAGCCCCTCGCCACAGAAGCCGTGTGTCGCCAACTCATCTCGACATAGTACTTTAATCCTGACACACACACGCACACACACACATCACTCCTGTTGTGCAGGTGTCCATCGTGCGCTTTGTCGTGCTCACCTGGCTGCGGCCGCATGTCATCGCATGAATGTCCCCCTCCCTCCCTCCCTCCCTCCATCCCTCAGTGGCCACACCGGTCAGTCAGTGCCCCAGGCCAAATGTGTCAATCAGCGGCGAGGCTGCAGCCGTCTGAGTCGTGCTGGTGCTGGGGAGGGGGCCGGTGGTCTGGGGAGCCGTCACGGCCTTCGCCATCAACACAGCGCAAAAAGGGAAACTGAGGTCGGCTGGCGATACTGTGGATGACTCAGCTAGAGCATTGCGGGATGGTGAAGTCGCTTGGTCGTCACGGGGCGAGCAGAGACCTGCTGACGGCAACAGGGACACACGCACCGAGACAGACAGACAGACAGGCATAAGGATGGATCACGATGGACGGCTGTTCTTTGTCGCCTACCGGCCTGTCCCCTGTCTTTGAATGTGCAATGCTGTCGCTCCATCTCCCGCCTGTGTGCTATGGCGGCCTGCTTGGCGCCCTCCATACCCAACTCACGCACAGAGAACGATTTGATCTTCGTCTTGCCGTCCACCTGCCACTGAGCAATCCATGAGTTGCAGAAGTCGCCGCCGTACTTCACCCCCTTGACGCCGCTCTGGTGCTCTAATCGCTTTCTCGCCACCACCCGTCCGGTACGCTCCATTTCACGGCGGTGCTGCTCGGCCAACGCCTGAGTGGACAACACACACACACACGGGACACCCAGATGGTGGGGGGGATTGGGGCGATAGGCGCCGTCATGCGCACCTTGGCCTTGTCGAATCCATAGCTACGAGCGCTGAACAATCGCTGTCTCTGCCTCTTCTCGCCCTTCTCGACCCATGTTGCTGCCCACGATCGCCTCACTGCATGCCAACAGACCCCTGGTACGTCCGAGGTGAGCGTCGGAACACGCCTGGTGACGACCGTCTTGGTCGTCTCGCCCATTGATCGTCCTTCATGATGCGAGTCGTGCTGTGGTGGCTCTGTTCGCCGCCTCTTCGGAGAGCGGCTGCCGTCCGGCGATGGGTCTCGGCCATTGCAGGGGGTGACAGGGGGGCTGCTTGGCAGATGGCGCTTCGGAGGATCAGCCAATCCTGAAGGGCACACAGGCGGACAGTCGAGACGATGGGTGAAGTGGTGCATCCCGGCTGAGCCAACTCGCTGTCCATTACCCTGGTCGTGGACATCACGCCGGCCAGACGCTACACACACATCTGATCGGCAGACACACAGGCAGATCAATCATGCCCTTCCTTGCCCTGTGTTCTCTCCTCTAACCCGACGGCCGCCACCGGATTGCCTTTGTCTGCCGGCCGGCCACCGTCAGAGTGGCGATCTCATACCGACCGCCACTCTGAGGATCAGTCGCACGCACATTCTCCAGCAGCTTCGTCAGCATGATGTCCTCCTCCACCCTGCTGCTGCCATCCATGTCAGCGGCCGACGTGGCGGCTGGCTGCCCATCAGCCCTGGTCTCATGAGGCCCCGCGCCGCCGTCTCTTGTGTCGGTCTCCTTTTGGGGGCCGCTGTGGTCATCCACAGCGGCCTGACGATGGGGCTCGGCAGGAGGGATCGGCAAAAGCCTGCCACGCTGCTTGTAGTAGTAGTGCAATCGCTCCATCTCCCGCCTGTGTGCGATGGCGGCCTTCTTGGCGCCCTCATAGCCATGCCTCCTCACCGAGAACTTCTTTTTCTTTTCCATGCCGCTTTCACACCAGCTGGCCTGCCATGAGTTTTTGGAGCTGCTGAAGCTGACGCCTTTGACACCGCTTTGATGCTCCGATATCGGCCGCATGGGGACGGTTGCGGGGCGACTGACGATGGCAGTCGGGCGGTAGCCTGCTATCCCGCCGCCAGGTGAAGGCCAAGGCGACACCACCGCGTCCATCGCCCGTCGGTGTGCGGTGGCGCTGGTCGTCAGCGGCATCGATGGGTACTGTGGTGCGACGCCATAGCCACGGACGCCAGCAGAATAACAAAGGGCCGGGAGGCTGGGAGGCCGCAGGGGGATTTGGGTTGCAGGACAGCATACCCCAACAGGGCCGCTCACACCTACTCGCGTGGCCGACACCGATAGCGGAGGACAGCCGGGTGTGGGTGGCGATGACTGCCCATAGTGGCCCATCATGCCGCCTTGGAAAGGACCCAGAGAGAGAGGCTGATCAACAATGGCCGCCGCATCAGCTGCTCCGCCACGATGAATGCCCGATGCTGGTGCTGGCGGCGGGAGAGAGGGAGCATATGGGGCTGCAAAGGGGGAAGCCGGAGCACCGCGTGCAGGCACCAAGTCAGCTTGACTCATCCTACCAACGAACCATCGTCGAGGGCCGCGGTAGACCGCAGTTCATCTGGATCTTGCTGCAGATGGTCAGGATCTGTAATTGCCCTGCTAGTCAAAGGGCGGAAGCGCTCGTTCGACGGCTTTGGTGCGAAAAGAGTGGAGGCGAGAAAAGAGTGGAGGCGAGAGAAGACACAATGGGGCTTGTCTCCTGTCTGATCTACCCGGCCAACAGCCCTCCTCACTTATTGCAGCTTCGCACGAGTGCCTTCTCAGCTACACTCAAGAATCTGAGTCAAGAATACTGCAGACCTTCTGGCTGTCGTCTGCCCACAAGTGCACTTGATCTGTTGCCTGAATGGCAGATCTGAACACGCCATCGGGAGACCCAAGACGCGTGGCGGGATTCTACCCTCAGCTCCATCAGCAGGCCCCTCCGCCGTACGAGTCGTCACAGCTGCAACACACACACGCCCCACAGCCTCAGTTTGCTGGCCAGTCTGGCACCCCCTTCCCGATGCCGTCTGGGGTGGTGGACGCCGAGGCCCCTCGGCTGCACAGTGAGGAAGCGCCTCACACTGGTGGTGCCGCCGAGTGCGCTCCTCCCGTTATGCCTTTTGACTTCTTTGGGTTGAAGGTTCTTCTGGGCAAGCCACCGACCAAGGTGAGGAACACGGCACACGGATACACGACATGGTTCATCCTATCCTGTGCTTGTTGGTCTTGCTTCTGCCTTCAGGTCGAGGGCACTGACTTGTACGCATTCATCTTGACGCACCAGCTGCTGTTCTTGGCCCCGGTGGTCTTCGCTTTCTACTCCCAACACCTCAATCGAGGACCGATATCGCACTGGTACTACCACCAGTATTTCTCACTGGACGAGACCGATATCGGCCTCCTTGTCGGCCTCGCTATCGGGAGTTTGGTCCTCTTGGTGTTGTGCTGCTGGTCGTTCTTCAAAAGGATGTCTGTGCTGGCACCCCTGCGATTCCCCCACAGCAAGGCGGGCTATCAGCTGACGACCCACGTCATCCAGCTGATTCTATTGAGCAGTTTCCTTTATTTCCTGCCGTGGTTTGACGTACTTCACTCTGAGATTGTCTGGAACAGTTACGAACACCAAGAAGATTACCTGGACATACTCGTCCCCATCGGTTTTGTGGCCCTGTGGGTGCTGCCTTTCGTGCTGTTCACTCGGTGTCTGGGATTGTATGCCGTATCGGGGGAGCATGCGACTGTACTGGCCATGGCCTGGGGCACTGTGTACTGCGATACCATGCGCTGTGTCGCAGTGCCTTTTCTGTATGTGTTGGCCGTGTCGAGTTCCTACGCGACCATCTGGGTTTTCTATCTGGCCATGGCATTCGCTTTGCTCGTAGTCCTAATCCGTCTGGTGCAGTCACTTTTCTCGAAACCCGCTGTATCTCGTGGCCACCGTCCGTCCGCGACCTCTGCTGAGCAATCATATGTGTAGCAGGGGGGAGGGATGGGTTGATTGGCTGCTTGTGGGTCGTGGTAGTACATGAGTGCGCAGTGTGCATTTTTGGTGAAGTACTGTAGATGCGGTCGGTGTATGTGTGTGAGGGTGTGTGTGTGGATCGGCCACGGGCCTGCATGGTGGCCGGCCGACGTGCATCTTTGGTGCTCTTAACGTGCATCTTTGGTGAAGTACTGTAGGTGCGGTGTATGTGTGTGAGTGTGAGTATGTGTGAGTGTGTGGATCGGCTAAAGGCCTGGTGGCCGGCCGACAGGGATACACGGGGCAGATAATCCATGCTGCCGTCTATGACAGGTCTGTCAGCTTGATGCTGGGTGCTGCATGTTGTGTGTGTTGCATGTTCTGTGGAGCAGAGACTTGGTGGTGTGTGGCTGCGGTGGTTGTAAATCAAAATTGAGACACGCAGACATGAATATCAGCCCATCTGTCTGTCCGTGCAAAGCAATGCACACGAATCGGTCTGTCGTGTGTGTACTGTACAAGGCCGCGTCTTCCGCTGCCGCTGCTGTCGTCGCACTGTCTCCTCCTCTCACTCATCAGTCCGACTTCACCTGAAAATCACACAGACATCCATCCAGTGATTCATTCATCTCTTCGACGCTCATCTCACTCATCTCATCCTGGCACTCACGTGATAGATTGCGATCTCCTTGGCGGTGAATGTGAATTTGTCCGCCAGGGTGCCGTCGCCGTTGTCGTTGCGTCGGCCGATGTAGCCGTCAGCCATGTCCTCTTTCTTGACCCACTGAAACATGCTGCGCACGTCATCTGCCGGGCCGGGGCTGCCGAAAGCGAGCCACAGATACCCACGGCCCAAGTACAACTGCACACATGACATGTGACAGCCAGTCAGTTGCTTCAGTGCCATTCATCGCAGTGACACTAATTATGTGTGCCCTCCACCCACCTTGCCGCGCTTGTCCACATTGGGTGCCTTGATGGATGCTAGACGGCCGGCGACCCTCACCTTCTGGTCGCCCTCGGGAATCGGTATCTTGGTGGGCTTCGCGTACGCACCGCTGATGGAAATGAAGAAGTGGGGCACCTTGTAGCCGGCGGGCGGCTTGAGTTGACCGTCGACGAAAACGCCAAATCGGTGTGTTTCGTTGTGGTTGACGAGGAACAGCAGACCGCTCGCGTCGCCCACCTTGTCGACCATCGTGCCGAAGTCACCACCGTCACGCGTCGAACTGACAGAGAGCAAAGAGAAAAGGGTGATGAGTTGATGGTGTCGCAAAGAGTTCATTTGGATGTCTCTGCGTACCTGTAGAGGAGTTTGATTGAGGGGTTGGGTATCTCTGTCATGGCCAGCACCTCACGCGTCTCCTCGAATCTGAGCAGTGGGGCCGGGGGCCGATAGACGTCCTCCATCTTGAGGCCATACATCTCCACATCCTTCTGCACACACACACAGACGATGACGAAAGCCAACGCCGACACATACATGTCTGTCTGGACTCACCTTGAGCTGAGTCATGTTGCGGGCTATCGGGTGCTTGACGATACTGCCGGGGCGATGCTCGAGCCGCAGTCTTCGTGCAAAATCCACTACCTGACCACCGACAAACAACACCACACACGATTCTTCCTGCCTTGTGCTTCTGTGTGGCTGTGTGTCACCTTCATCAAGTGCTCGACGGCGGTCTGCCGGATGGGTACGTCGCCAACAATCTCACCACTGCACAACACAGACACAAAACAGACGACATGTTTCCACTTATGCGCGGCGGCCGAACTCTGACCTGAATCGCTTGTAGAGGGGGTTGGCGGGGCCGAACTGCGACAGCGTCGCCTCGGTGGCCGACACCCTCTTGCGCAGGACGGTCACGGTCTTCACCTCGTGGGCAGTGCCGTCCTCTGCTCGGAGGAAGGGCCCCATCGCCTTGCCGAAGTCCTTCAGATGCCCCGCTGCCCCATCCAGCTCCACCACCGCCGCCTTGTAGCCCTCCACATACTCACGCAAACGATCTCCCATGCTGTCCGTCCCGCTGCCACCCTCATCGCCCCCCTCCGCCGCCACCTCCTTATCTCCGTCGTCCATGTCGACGTCGTGCGATTGTGTGTCGATGTCGAGTGGCGTGTGTGTGAGGAACAGCTGGTAGTAGAAGGCGAATATGGGATCCTCCTTCTGTGTGTCGTCGAGCTTGATCTCGTGCTCCTCAGCTGAGGCGTCCGCACACTCAGCCATGGAGATCTCATCAGACAACCTGACACACAAAGGAGAAGACACACGATGAACAGACGACCAACTTCCCCTTCCCCCTCCCTCCGCTCACCAGTCCACATACTTTGGATCTGCGTCGAGGAATGGCCGGCCCTCCTCATCGCGGGGCAGGGCGTCCACGCAGTACAGCAGCAGATGGGCGAAGTAGGTGCGGCGGAGCTGATCCAGCATCAGCCCCTTGCGCGACACACCCACCACCCGGCCGCCCACATTGACCTCCACCTCCCCCTCGATGCCGCCCGTCAGCTCCAACTTGCCGCCCGTGCTCTCAATCAGCTCTTTGATGGCCTCGGCTTTGGTCTGCAGCTGCTGGATGGCGGCCGTGGCGGCGTTCTTGATGGCAAGCAGGGCCGCGATGGCCTTGTGCAGCGACCGGTCAAAGGATTTGCGGCCGATCTGAGGGGTGGGAGGGTGGTGGTCATCAGCTGGCTGGCCTGCCGCGTCAACAGCATCACCGTCATTCATCTTCCGCTTCTTCGAACCGCCTGCTGCTGCTGCTGCTGCTGCGGCTGCTGCTCCTGCTGCTGCTGTTGCTGTAGCGGCCGACATTAGTTGATTCGATGCGACGTTCCCCGAAGCGAGCGGGAGTCTTTGAAAAATGCCACGCATGCGAGCTGGACGTTTGCGTAACGGCTTTGCGAGTACCGTGTATACAACTGTGAAGCCAAACCGCAGATTCACACGTCAAAACTCCACGAGCTGATCTTGCAGCATTGCTGCGCTCGGGTCAGCGCGCCAGTCACTCGGCAGCTGATGCTCGGAGGAGCGCGGAGCCCTCATCCAGCCTGTGAAGCGACGCGCCAGCCACTTGAGCCGTCATCAGGGCGAACGGCCATGCAGCAGCCAACCGTTGAGCAACCATCGGCAGCAGATCGAGGCCAGGCATCTACCGAAAGGGGCACATCGGCTGAGGTGACGTATCTGGACGCCGGGCAGCTGACCGTGCAGAACGAAGCCATGACGGAAGGCCAGACCCCACACGCATCAGGTACGGACACACTGTCCACCTGGTTGTTATGTGTCGATTCACCATCTGCAGAAGCAGCACCGTCCGAGGCCGGACTGGGCAAGGTTCGTCACAGGCGCGGGGACAAGTCGAGTGTGGCTGGCGTTGACCCTCGATCGTCATCCCCACACTCACGACGGAGGCCCAAGGCAGGCAACCTGAGGGATGGTGCGTCGGTCTCTGCCGGCGATGTGTGGTCGCCCAGCTGTATGTCTAACCCCCGGTGGGCCGCCGACTCAGACAGCAAGGCCGGCAGCAAGGGGAAGACCGTCATTACCAAGTCAGGTAAGGAGACCAAGAGGCGAATCCAACGCAACCCGATTGATTATGTGTGGTACCAACTGCAGAGGATCAGTCTGACGTGGCGGGAGTTAGTTGGTGCAGCGCGCGGCAGTCCTGGAGGGCATCGTGGTGGGAGAAGAAGAAATACAAGACAAGGTTCTTCTGCGTCAACGAGCATGGCTACGACAGAGCCAAGGTGCCAATGACGCCGCCCATTCCCTCTCACCTCCACCTCTCTCATTGAGTCTCTCCTCTGTGGTCCGTCCGCCAGGCGTTGGCCGAGCAGCACCGTCGTGAGCTGGAGACCGCCGGACGGGCGGCGGTGAGGAAGAGGTCAAAGTACCAGAGCGGCGTCAGGGGCGTCTTCTACCACAAGGGCAACAACGCATGGGCGGCCACATGGCAGGAGAGCGGCAGACAGAAGAAGAAAAGCTTCTCCATCAGGCATCTGGGCTATGAGGGCGGCAAGCGGGCCGCCATATCTCACAGACGGAAGATGGAGAAACGACACTACGAGTATCGGCCGGCCACCTCCCCCCCGCCCCCGTCATTCGAGCTGGATGATGACAGTCGTCCACCGATCCGCACCAGCAAGCGGCGACGCAACGGCACGATGGATCACAGCAGCACTGCCGATGACACCCAACCGACCGACAGCAATGGGCGGCCGGCTGGCGAGTCGGCCGCTGCCATCACTCGGCTTGACGCGACGTCTGATGCGGCTGCGCTGGCCATATTGTTGGAGGGTGTGCGTGCGAGCGATCCTGAGAGTGGCGGTCGGTATGAGATCGTCACAGTGACGGTGGCCGGCCAGAAGACGAGAGCGATTCTGTGGATGCCAACAGGTGCGTCTCACTCGTCCGTTCACTGGCTGCCATCCATCTGTGTGTGTGTGAGTGTGTGTGTGTGTGTGGTTATAGGTGTGGATGTGCCGTCGGGTAGGGGCGTGACTGCCAAGGCCATGACGGCGCCGCTGCCTTCAACAGAAGAGAGGAGCGAGCCACTTCCCCTCCCCCTCCCCCACGACGACGCATCGACGGCAGCGCACCGCAATAATGGTGAGCCAGACACCACTTAGACGCCAGATTGAGTCAACAGCCCTCCCACGCCTTCTTCCGGCTGTCTGGCTGTGTCAACTCACTCAGAGTGCACCGACCCAGAGGAGCACCACACGCCAAGCAGCTCTGTCGATGGGCATGGCGGCCATAACGGCCGTGGGGCCTCGGCTGACCGCAGCCCCCCTCCCAAGCGGCTGTGCGGCCCAGCGGGCCATCAGGTGGCGGGAGAAGTGACGGGCGATGCGCTGGCTCGCGCACTGGTGCGGTGGATGAGGGACGAGCAGCCGGGCGACTTCCACGCGTCAGACAGAGGCGGGTGAGCATGACCAAGGGCATGATGGACGCTCTCATGTTGACAGTGGCATCTGTCTCTGTGTGTGTGTGTCAGTATCGGCATCTCATGGCGGAACAACTACAGTTACGAGGCCTACTTTTGGGACAACGACGCATCGACGACCGTCGATCTGCGTCAGTTCCTTGTCGGCTGCGGCGCCTCCCCTGAGGCCATCTTCACGGCCTTCCGTGATGCTGTTGAGTACCGCAATGCGCTCCATAGGTCGCATGTGGGCGGCCGGGCGATGGCCATCGATCTGTCGTGGCTGCAGCGAGCACAGCAGGGGGTGGGGCAGATGGACGGCGGGATGCGTGAGGGGCAATTCGGCTGCAGCCCACCCCCGCAGCGTCGCAAGCGCACCAAGAGACCCAGCCACGACCCTTTCCTCGACCCCTCTCCCCCGTCCCGCTTTCCCCGGTCCAGCTTTCCCCGCCTCCCGGGCCGCCCCCCTGGGCGTCGAGAAGGCGACGCAACAGAGGACCGCGGTGGCCGGCAGAGAAAGAGCGTGGCTCGGGCGGCGCGTCGGTCTGACAGCTGTGACGACCACAATGACGGCAGCAGCTCATCATCTCCAGAACCACGGCAAAGGCCCAAGGCAGCCAATCTGAGGGATGGTGCGTTGGTGTCTGCCGGTGATGTGCCGTCGCCCGTCTATGCGTCCAATCCCCAGTGGGCCCCCGACACAGACGAGAACACCAGCACCAGGGCCACCGTCATCACCAAATCAGGTGAGAAGAAGCGAATTCAAGGCGACCAGAGCCTCCATCAGGTGTGTGTGTCCCATTATTTCAGAGCACCAGTCGGATGTGACGGGAGTGGCGTGGCATGAGAAACAGCAGCGTTGGATGGCGTTCTGGTACGAGAAGGGCGACCCGAAGCAGAAGCAAAAGCTCTTCTACGTCAAAGACCATGGATTCGACGGAGCCAAGGTGCGCAGGAGGCCACCCATTCCCTCTGTCTCTCTCTGCGAGTGTCCCATGTGTGTGCCTCCGTCCGTCAGGCATTGGCCGAGGAGCATCGCCGTGAAATGGAGCGCACCGGACGGGCGGTGGTCAGGAAGAGATCGGCGCACCAGAGCGGCGTCAGGGGCGTCAGCTATCACAAGGGCAGCAACTCATGGATGGCCAGCTGGCAGGTGGACGGCAAGCAGAAGGTTCAGCTGTTCTCTGTGCGTCAGCTGGGGTATGAGGGCGCCAAGCAGGCGGCGATAGCCCACCACCGTGCGATGGAGGAGAGGCACTACACATTCAAAGATAAGGCAGCGACGAAAGGCTCATGAGTGAGACACCGCCATTGCAAATAGCCAGGGGTTTGGGGGTTGGGGGGGATGGTGGGGGGGTTGGGCTGTGCGGTGGGGTGCCTCATGCGCCGTTCTGCCGATCCACTCGACTCACTGACTGCATGGTCGATGGAGACAACACGGTCGGGTGCTCATGAGTTCATGAATCCATGCCGATCGGTCAAGTGTACGCACCGTTTACGTATTTCGCCGGCTAGCGGTGCATGCCGCACAGCTGCAGGCATCCAGCAAACAGTCGTTTATAAGACATTGTCGAGGCATGCTGACATGCAACGAGAGTTGAACTGGTGTGAGCATCAATGCGACAAACGACACTGCAAGAATGCTTGAAGACACACCACATGATCACATACACAGACGTCTTCACAAACGCAAGGATCTCATCATGCATCGACATTGTCGCCCTGCCCTCGCAATGTCTCAACAAACAAGTGACCATTAATCAGGACTCCTTCACACCAGATTCAGCATATCCAGCCCCTCGCCGACCCATTGGCTCTCCCCTTCCTGGCCTGCCTGCTGCCTTCTTGTCGGCTGGGGCGGCTGGTCGTCTGTGTGTCGTCGTCGCGACCACACAGCGAACAGGCCCAGTGGCCAACACTCTCATAAAGGGACCATGATCGCCTTGGGAGCTGTGCTGTCGCTCTCGTCAAGTCTCGAGTAGGAATAAACCCTCGCCACAGAAGCCGTGTGTCGCCAACTCGTCGCAGTAAAGATCAATCCTGACACACACACACACATCACTACTGTTGTGAGGGTATCTATCGTGCGCTTTGTCGTGCTCACCTGGCTGCGGCCGCATGTCATCGCATGAATGTCCCCCTCCCTCCCTCCATCCATCCATCCATCCCTCAGTGGCCACACCGGTCAGTCAGTGCCCCAGGCCAAATGTGTCAATCAGCGGCGAGGCTGCAGCCGTCTGAGTCGTGCTGGTGCTGGGGAGGGGGCCGGTGGTCTGGGGAGCCGTCACGGCCTTCGCCATCAACACAGCGCAAAAAGGGAAACTGAGGTCGGCTGGCGATACTGTGGATGACTCAGCTAGAGCATTGCGGGATGGTGAAGTCGCTTGGTCGTCACGCGGCGAAGAGAGACCTGCTGACGGCAACAGTGACATACACACACCCAGACAGACAGAGAGACAGTCATAAGGATGGATCACGGTGGACGCCAGCCTTGTCTCGCCTACCGGCCTGTCCCCTGTCTTTGAATGTGTAATGCTGTCTCTCCATCTCCCGCCTGTGTGCTATGGCGGCCTTCTTAGCGCCCTCCATACCCAACTCACGCACAGAGAACGATTTGAACTTCTGCTTGCCGCCCTCCTGCCATGTCGCCACCCAAGCAATCCGCTTCTTGTGGTAGCTGACCCCCTTGACGCCGCTCTGCTGCTCTAATCTCTTCTTGACCGCCGCCCGTCCGGTGAGCTCCATCTCGTGACGATGCTCCTCGGCCAACGCCTGACGGACGGAGGCACACATGTGAGACACTCAGAGAGAGACAGAGGGAATGGGCAACGTTGTGCGCACCTTGGCCCTGTCGAAACCATGGTCTCTGACGGAGAAGAGCTTCCATTTCCGCTTCGGGTCGCCCTTCTCGTACCATGTTGCCCTCCAGGCCTGCTTATCCTCATGCCAATTTACCCCCGTCACATCCGACTGGTGGTCTGCAATTGGCGGGACCACACGAAGGTCATGGTGTTTGAATTCCTTTCTTGTGTTCCTCACCGGATTTGGTGATGACAGTGCCCTTGGTGTGGTCTTCCATTTCGCGGCGGTGCTGCTCGGCCAACGCCTGAGTGGACAACACACACACACACACACACGAACGACACACCCAGAGTTCTTTTGGGGCGTTAGTGGTGATAGGCGGCGTCATGCGCGCCTTGGCCTTGTCGAATCCATAGCTACGAGCGCTGAACAATCGCTGTCTCTGCCTCTTGTCGCCCTTCTCGACCCATGAGGCTGACCACGATCGGCTCACTGCATGCCAACAGACCCCTGGTACGTCGGAGGTGTGCGTCGGACCACGTCTGGTGACGACCGTCTTGGTCGTCTCGCCCAATTGTCGTCCTTCATGATGCGAGTCGTGCTGTAGTGGCTCTGTCCGCCGCCTCTTCGGAGAGCGGCTGCCGTCCGGCGATGGGTCTCGGCCACTGCAGGGGCTGACAGGGGGGCTGCTTGGCAGATGGCGCTTCGGAGGATCAGCCAATCCTGAATGGCACACAGGCGGACAGCCGAGACGATGGGTGAAGTGGCGCATCCTGGCTGAGCCAGCTGGGTGTCCATTACCTTGGTCGTGGACATCACGCCGGTCAGACGCTACACAGACATCTGATCAGCAGACACACAGGCAGATCAATCTTGCCCTTCCTTGCCCTATGTTCTCTCCTCTAACCCGTCGGCCGCCACCGGATTGCCTTTGTCTGCCGGCCGGCCACCGTCACTGTGGCGATCTCATACCGACCGCCACTCTGAGGATCAGTCGCACGCACGCCCTCCAGCAGCTTCGTCAGGATGATGTCCTCCACCCTGCTGCTGCTATCCATGTCAGCGGCCGACTCGCCGGCTGGCTGCCCACCAGCCCTGGTCTCATGAGGGCCCGCGCCGCCGTCTCTTGTGTCGGTCTCCTCCTGGGGGCCGCTGTGGTCATCCACAGCGGCCTGACGATGGGGCTCGGCAGGAGGGATCGGCAAAAGCCTGCCACGCTGCTTGTCGTAGTAGTGCAATCGCTCCATCTCCCGCCTATGTGCGATGGCGGCTGTCTTGGCGCCCTCATAGCCATGCCTCGTCACCGAGAACTTCTTTGCCCTATTGACGCCGCTTTCACGCCAGGTGGCCGTCCATGAGTTTTTGCACTTGTTGAAGCTGACGCCTTTGACACCGCTTTGATGCTCCGATATCGGCCGCATGGAGCCGGTTGCGCGGCGACTGACGATGGCAGTCGGGCGGTAGCCTGCTATCCCGCCGCCAGGTGAAGGCCAAGGCGACACTACCACGTTCATCGCCCGTCGGTGTGCGGTGGCGCTGGTCGTCAGCGGCATCGATGGGTGCTGTGGTGCGACGCCATAGCCACGGACGCCAGCAGGGTAACAAACAAAGGGCCGGGAGGCTGGGAGGCCGCAAGGGGATGTGGGATGCAGGAAGGCCTACCCCAACAGGGCCGCTCACACCTACTCGCGTGGCCGACACCGATAGCGGAGGACAGCTGGGTGTGGGTGGCGATGACTGCCCATAGTGGCCCATCATGCCGCCTTGGAAAGGACCCAGAGAGAAGGGCTGCTGCTGATCAACAATGGCCGCCCCATCAGCTGCGCCGCCACGATGAATGCCCGATGCTGGTGCTGGCGGCGGGAGAGAGGGAGCATATGGGGCTGCAAAGGGGGAAGCCGGAGCACCGCGTGCAGGCACCAAGTCAGCTTGACTCATCCAACCAACGAACCATCGTCAAGGGCCGCGGTAGACCACAGCTGATTTGGATCTTGCTGCAGATGGTCAGGATCTGTCATTGCCGTGCTAATCAAAGGCGGATCAGAGGGCGGAGGATTCTCGCGGCGATCGCCTCTCGTGCGAGCTACAAAGCGCATCAAACTGCGCTATGGCATCTTGCACAAGGCGGCTTAGGATGAGCTGCTAGCAGGTCAGCCTGCTGTCCCCTGTCGTGGCGTTCCTGACGTTTTTCGGCAAGGAAAGCACAATGGCATTTGTTCAGCCTCTGAAATCTGGTGAGGCAGCGGCAGGACCCTAGGCGCGTGGAGTAGGAGGCGGCCGACGACAGATCTTGTCCATCTGCCGGCTGCAAGGCAGGAGGTAAACCACACACATGCGCCTCTGTGAGATGCGCTGTGTTTTGTGTGTGTGTGTGTGTGTGGTGGGTGCAGCTGCTGCCGAGTGTGCGCCCCGAGACGCTGCAGCTGCCATCTGAGACGCTTTTGAGCTTCGATGAGCCGCCCCCGCTGAGCAGCAGCCGCAGGAGGCGCCTGACCCACCCCGACTCCCTGCCGGCGGCCACCTTCCGCGTGACCGACAGGAAGACCAATGCGAGTCGATGGCGGACTATCTGGTGTGAGGAGGCCGAGTGCGGCAATCAATTGGATGGGTCGCTGCTGGGCGTGTTTGTGGGTATATCAGTGATGGCGGTTGCCGTCGGCGGTGAGTCTGACTCTGCGGCATGGATCGTGTTTGTCGGACCGCAGGCGCGTCCGGGCGGCCCTTGGGCATTTTGTCGGCTGGGCGACGACCAAGACGGTCAGCAATCGGGAGGTGGTGGGCGAGTGGCGTCAGGGGCCGGACGGGCAGCTGGTGCATGTGCCGCAGCTGCAGTGCTTCGCTGTCAAGGGCTTCAACAACGAGGAGGGCAATGACGACTGTCAGTTCCAATGGGGCCGGCTGGGCAGCAGTGGGTGTCGCTGGGCATCAAGTGACTGATAGATTGCTTTCGTAGCTAATGAGACATTGACGACTTGCTTTGCCGGGCTGTTTACACAGTCGGGTTCAGTTCTGATTGCTCACTCAACTCGCCCGTGTTTTGTTTTTCACTCACTGTCTCCTTCTGTCTTTTGACTCAGCTCGGCTGCCCACGTGACGGCTGCCTGCTTGGATTCATAAGAGTGCTTCACATACACAGACGGGCGCATGGGTTAGGCTCTGTGTGTCTGGATGTCATGTGTGAAGAGAACACGAAAGGTCAAACAGACAAAGGGGTGCGCGTGTTTGCTGAAGTTGAGCTCAAGAATTCATCGATCTCACAAAACGTCCGACGTACTGTCGTACCGCACAAGCACTTCAAACGAGCCAATACGTGTGTGAAGGTATTCAGGCCACCACGTCGGCTGCATCGTCAGAGACACAGAGAGCACAAACACGAAGTTGTCTTTTGCAAAGAACGAGCTGGTCCATCTTCCGACAAAACGGTACGGTACAGCCGGGTCAAAAACAGCGGCTATGGGGACACCTGACTCACGCGCTCGTCGCACCGCCGCCATGCACATGCCATATCTCGACTTCCTTGGCTGTGAATGTCCATGCGCCTGCCAGTGTGCCATTGCCGTCGCTGTTGAATTGGCCGAGGTAGCCATCGGGAAGGTCCTGCGTCTTGACCCACTGATTCATGCTGCGCACGTCATCCGCGGGGCCGGGGCTGCCCCAGGCAAACCACAGATATCCGCTACCCAAACACAACTGCACACATGACATGTGAGAGTTGTGTCATTCTGCTCGTGCTGCTTTGTTCTTCCCACCTTGCCACGTGAGTCCTCATTGCTGGACTTGATGAACGCGTCGCGGCCGGCGACATGCACCGTTTGTCTGGCCGTGGGGATTGGAATCTTGGTGACCTGGCCATATGCACCGCTGATGGAAATGAGGAACTGCTGCACTTTGTAGAGTCCGCTGGTGTGTGTGGGGTCGGCGGGCGGCTTGAGTTGACCGTTCACAAAGGCGCCGAATCGGTGTGTGTCGTTGTGGTTGATGAGGAAGAGAAGACCGCTCGCATCGCCCACCTTGTCCACCATCGTGCCGAAGTCATCACCGTCACGGCTTGACCTGTCAGAAACGTAAAGCCGCTTTTGTGCGATAGGTTGGAATGCTCGGAGCATTCCGAGCTGTTTCTTCTCACTTGAACAACAGCGATGGGCTGCATGTGGGCTTGTCCATGATGTCGACGAGGACGCTCACCCACTCCTGCGCCGACTGGATGACCCATCCATCGCCGGCCGGCAGGTCCACGATGAGATCGCCACCAGCCGCCAGATGGCAGATCGGGGCGTAGGCGATGCCGTACATCTCCATGTCCTCGATGCACAGCCGTCGCTCACTCTCGTCGAGCAGCGGGGGGTGGATGAACTGGCCCTTGGGCATGGTCATGGCGATGCGCCGGGCAAATTCCACCGTGTGTACGAAGTGCTTGGCGGGCGTCTGTCGAATGTGTCGATCTGGCCAATTCGGCGGGGTGCTGCACACAAAAGCGGACACGGAGTGCATAGCATTTGATCGCTTCCGTGCCCACCCACCCCTCTTACTCGGAGAATCGCGTGAGCAGCGGATGCTTGTCCCCCAGACGAAGAAGCGTGCTCTTCAGGATCACCACCTGCCTGCCCAGGATGGTCAGGCTCAAGAGTGTGCTGTCACCATCGCCTGGTGTCTTCAAGAAGGGCTCCATGGCCGTCAGGAATGCGTTGATGTCCTCCTTGAGGCGCCCCAGCCCCTTGGCGGCCTTCACATAGGCGCGAATCGAGGGCTGCGAGGCATCGAAGTACTGCTGGGTGGCCTCGTCCACACCCGCAGTCGCTTCCCATGGCTGCTGCGCTCCATTGTTGGCCATCGTGGCGTCGAGCGGTGCTTGCTGCTGGTCAGCCGATGGGGAGAAGACCCCGACCTCACGCATGAAGAGGCAGTGGTATTCGGCGTATGTGGGGTCGGCAGCCTTGTTTGCGGGGAGGGTCACCGTGTTCGCACGGCCGGTCTCGTAGAGGGTCAGTGCGTCCAGGAAAGCGTCGAAGTAGGCGCTGGACACCTCCAGATAGACGTGGCCGCTGGGGTCCTTGGGCATGCCGTCAGCGAAATGCATGAGCAGAACTGAGATGTACCGCTTGCGCATGAGAGGCATCAGCAGGCCTCGGCGGCTCACCGGAAAGACCACCCCGCCTGCATCGCACACACGACAGCAGGACACATCGGTGCACACATCAACGCACGACCGTGGTCGTCTTGCGTGTGTTGACCTGCGTTGACGAGCACCTCGCCAGTGGTCTCGGGAGGCTGCCACACGCCGCCCTTGGCTGCCACTGAAGCGACGATGTCCTCTGCCAGCTGCTTGGCGCCCTCTCGGGCCCTGGTCTCCTGCTCACGAAGCGCGTCGAGGGATGCGTCGCAGTCGCTAGTGAGTCGCGCGACAGATGGGCAGTCGGAAAGCGACGCTGGCATCGTCATTGTCACCACAGAAGCACAGATCTGTAGGAATTCGCAGGAATAACTGGGACAAGCTCGAGCTCGCAACGACTGCGAGCTCAAAGGTCGTCGTTGAGGAAGGAGTCGAATCTCTCGGTGTCATGGCGTCGCCAACTCGCGGCATGCACGGCCTGGCCCGCCTTCCGTCAGAGCTCTGGGTGCTTAACCTCTCCGGCACTCTCACAGACGAGGAGACCATGCGCCTGTCTGTCCTGGACGAGAGCTGCTTCGAGGCCATCTGCTCGTCCACCCTCGTCATCGGCCCGGCCGTCCCTCGGGATCGACGCGTCCTTCTGTGGTCCCAGGGCCCGCAGAAGATCATTCTCGTGGCGGCCGAGGACGAGGCCAGCCTTGAGGATGATGTGCTGCAGTTCTTCGTGACTACGATGCAGCGCCACGGTGACAAGATCAAGGCCATCAAGTCGGTCGAGTCGGTATTCGATACGCTCCCCTGGTGGGACGCCGCGGCAGCGGGCCTGCAAGGCGCACCGAGGACGTTTCCGGCTCTCACCGACATCGACGTGGGGCTGCTGCCTGTGCTCAAGACATTCTGGCACTTGGGCTGGAAGACACCCAAACTCAACACACTCACTGCCAGGCTGCGCAGTGGGGACGAGCCACGGCTGCTGGACCGGCCATCGGACCTTCACCAGCCACTGACCCACCTACTGGCTCATTCGCCGCTCATCCGCCACATTGACGTGTTCCCTCTGCCCACACACGTGTGCGGCTCGGCACTCGACACACGTGCAGACAGCCTGGAGGCGGTGGGCGGCATGGTCTTCATCGCACACGATCAGGAGATGGACAGGCTCGTGCGTGGCCTGCCGCGCATCCAGCCTCCGGCCACAAGCAAGCGCATCGGCATCTTCGACCGCAACCTGGCCTTCGAGTCGACCCTGCCGGCATCCTTTGATCCAGCCCGCCGCCGCGACGAGAGCGGCGCGGAGGTCGGACCCACTCTCATGCAGCTGCTGGTCGAACTGGAGAGCCGCGGTATGAGTGCATGCACACACACACACACGAGAGAGAGGCCTTTGAAGTGTTGTCGTCACTTGTTTCAGGCTACTGGCCGATGGCGAAAGGCCTGGTGGTCACGCTCAAGGGAAGCTGTGCGCCTGCTGACAGTTGCCCCGCCAAGCTTGAGGGGTCCATCCGCGACATCGTCAAGCGCGGCATCCGCGAGGCCGAGACCGTCGTGATGAGCTACGATGAACATTCGCGGCCCTGGGACGACTCATGGGAGCTCGCCGACTCGAGTGGCCGGCCGGTGGTCTTCCACAAGACCAAGTACCTCATCATCAAGTGTGTCGACTTACTTCGCGGCTACGTCGGCCATGATGCGGTGAGTGAGGACGTGGATCACTCACGCGTCGATCCATCATGCATCTCTCTCTCTCTCTCTCTGTCTCTCTCTCGCTGGTCGCTCTGTCTTGTAGATTGCCGGCTGGACGGCGGGCGGCTGGACGAGTGCCGAGGTGCTGACGCTGGAGAAGGTCGAGTACCAGTCTGTCAAGGACCACACCACTAACCACAAGCACCGATTCACGGCTGATGGCATCCACGAGAAGCCCCTCCCTCCTCAGCTCCCCATGACTCAACAGGAGGCAGAAGACCAGGCGGCATACGCAGCTGCTGGTGTGCCCACGCCGGTGCGCCCTCCACCCCCCACCAACCACTACGTGCTGTCGGAATCCCTGCAGCGCCTGCTCAAGACCATGCCGCCTACACTACACACCGTCCGGCTCATTCGTGTGCCCTGGTGAGTGAGTGAGTGAGTGAGTGAGACTTTTTGTGTGTGGGTGTATGTGGTGCATTCATTCAGGTGGGCGGCCTTTGACGCGTTTGTGTGTCTGTCTGAGGGCACGGCGGCTCAGCAAACAGGGGAGGGGGGCACCAAGCGTGTGTGTCTGGGCGCGTTGGTGATCAGGACAAGGGTTGAGGATAGCCCCCTGGTGGTGCCTGAGAAGGGCGGCGCCTTGTGGAGTACCATGCAGGAGCGCCTCTCGCTCGACACGCTTGTCATGAACGTCAAGACAGAGGTGCGCTGGGTGCACCCAAATTGAATGAAGGGACGGCCGCCGCGAGGACAGCACTTTTCTCGACGTCCTTTGTGTGTGTGTCTGTGTGTCTGATCAATCTGTCACTCAGCTTGGCTATCCGCTGGATGAGGATGTTCCTCCCTTTCGCCCGACCATTTCCGAGTGTACTACGACCTCATCCTGATGCTGCAGCCCAATACTGTCGTCCTGACCGTCAACACACGGCAATGTGAGCAACGACCTAAAGAATGCGTCCATGTGATGGTAGACGTCTCTTGTGCTGCTGACCGCCGCAGATGAGGTCAGCGATGATGGAGACGACATCGAGCCCGACGAGGCCAAGTATCCCTTCCTCAAGTGGTTCACCGGCGATGTCCGCGCGAGATACCGCATGTGCCACTGCGGGTCCGGGGGCAGCTCCTGCAGTAGCACGACAGACGGCCGGATGGATGTTATGCTCAAGAGCCATTTGATATGCCATTCACTTCACTCACTCACTCACTGGTCAGCTTAAATCCACATGGTCATTCACGTCACAATCCGTCGACATGCAGCAGCAGCACGACTAACACGACACAGCCCAATGAAGACCACACCTTCCCCCCACGCTACGTGTGCCTGTCTCGCTCATCAGCAATGTTTCGCTCCCCTGTCTTTGAATGTGTAGTGCCTCTCCTCCATCGCACGGCGGTGGGCTATGGCCGCCTGCTTGGCGCCCTCATAGCCCAGCTCACGCACAGAGAAGGGCTTAAGGTTCCTCTCGCCGCCCACCTGCCACTGAGCGACCCATGCCCCTTTGTTTAAGTAGAAGCCCTTGACGCCGCTCTGGTGCTCCGATCGCTTCTTGACCACCGCCCGTCCGGTGCGCTCGATCTCGAGACGACAGTTCTCTGCCAACGCCTGACGGACGGAGAGACACACGAGAGACACTGAGAGAGACAGAGGGAATGGGCGGCGTCATGTGCACCTTGGCTCTGTCGAAGCCATGGTTACGGACGTAGAAGCAATTCTGCTTCATCTTTGGGTCGCCCTTCTCGTACCATGTTGCCATCCAGGCCTGGTGCCCCTCAACCCACGCCACCCCTGTCACGTCAGACTGGTGCTCTGAAATTGGCGGGACACACAAGCGTGGACGCTCTGGTCGCCTTGAATTCGCTTCTTGGTGTTCTCACGTGATTTGGTGATGACGGTGGCCTTTGTGCTGGTGTTCTTGTCTGTGTCGGCGGCCCACTGCGGATTGGACGCATAGACGGGCGACGGCACATCACCGGCAGACACCAACGCACCATCCCTCTTGGCTGCCTTGGGCCTTCGCCGTGGTTCTGGAGATGATGAGCTGCTGCCGTCATCGTCGTCACAGCTGTCAGACCGACGCGCCGCCCGAGCCACGCTCTTTCTTCTGCCGGCCACCGCGGCCCTCTGTTGCGTCGCCTTCTCGACGCCCAGGGGGGCGGCCCGGGAGGCGGGGAAAGATGGACCGGGGAGGGCGGGACGGGGGAGAGGAGTCGAGGGGCGGGTCGTCGCCGGGCCCCTTGGTGCGCTTGCGGCGCTGCGGGGGTGGGCTCCAGCCGAATTGCCCCTCACGCATCCCGCCGTCCGTCTGCCCTTTCCCCCGCTGTGCTCGCTGGAGCCACGAGAGATCGATGGCCATCGCCCGATCGCCCACACGCGACCGGTGGAGCGCATTGCGGTACTCGACGGCCTCACGGAAGGCCGTGAAGATGGCCTCAGGGGAGGCGCCGTGGCCGACAGGGAACTGACGCAAATCGACGGTCGTCGATGCGTCATTGTCCCAGAAGTAGGCCTCGTAACTGTAGTTGGTCCGCCACGAGATGCCGATACTGACACACACACACGCACAGAGATGCCACTGTCAACATGAAAGCGTCCATCATGCCCTTGGTCATACTCACCCGCCTCTGTCTGGCTCGTGGAAGTCGCCCGGCTCCTTCTCCCGCATCCGCCGCATCAGTGCGCAAGCCAGCTTGTCGCCACACAGCCCATCAAGACTCGCCAGCTCCCGGTGCGAGACATGCTGCGACTGGCTGCTGCGCTGGCGCTTGGACGGACGGCAGTGGTTGAGCGAGCCATCACGTCCATCGCCATCGCCGTCGAGAGAGGGGAGAGGGAGAGGGTCGTGTGATAGGCGTCGCTTGCGACGGTCGCCAAGGCCTGAGCGCACGGAGGCAACAGCAGACAAGGTGAGAACTAGTCGTGGCTTTCGTCCTGCCTGTGTCATTGATCTCACCTGTGTCGTCACATGGGCTAGGCGTGTCCTGGTGCTTGCGAGGCCGCGATGCCTCTGCCTTCTCGTCACGCTGCGGAGGCCTCCACTGCGCCACTTGCCTCTCCTGGCCATCGGCCACATCAGTGACGATCTCGAACCGATCGTCGGTTCCCGCCGATCCGGCCCGCACCGCCCCCAGCAGGTCCGTCAGCCGCCACATCTGCCACCCAGTGGCCGTCCCGTGGGAGTCACGATGCACAGTCGCCCGCACACACAGGTACTGGGCGGCGACGCTGGCAGATGGCCAGCCGGTGACCAGAAAGTGCCGCCCGTCCGCCATCTTCTCGGCGCTAAACTGCATGCCCTCGTAGGCCGCCGAGTACGCCGAGTGGCCGGGGTCCTGCTTGTGTCGTATCGTCCTCAGAAGCTGCCCAACGGTGTTCCTCTCGTCGCCCGGACCACCTACCGCTGCGGCCGGGGAGGGACGATTCGACCCACCAGCGGCCGGCTGGGGCGAGGGAGATGGCTTGTCGACAGCCTTCTCCTTGGCACTAGGCGAGGGGGCCCTGTCGCATGCTGACCGGCCGGTGGCGTCTTGCAGCTCCGTGTTGTTGGCTGGACTGCTTTTCTCCTGACATGAGGCGGTGGGAGGTGGGGGTGGGGATTGGGAGGCGGGTGGCGTTGGACCTAAGTCAACACACGCAACAGAGATGACAGATATGGGAACCGACACGCTGTCTAGCATTCTTCTCCCTCTCCTTCTTTCTCACCTGCTGCGCTGTCCTTGGGTGCCTCTATGGTCGGCTCGGTGGGCGGCGGGGAAGGATCCGGTGCCCGGTTGCATGGCAGGGTGAAAGCACAAAGGACCTCCTCGACATTGATCTTGGCAGCAGGCGATGCAGTGGCCACGGCAGCTGGGAAGGGGTGGGTCGACAGCACCTTCCGCGACCGCCGCAGCTCGGCAGCCAACGATCCCTCCACAAGCCTGAAGGTCAATACATTCCATTGAGGCCGCCACATTCTTGCCCCCTTGCCTGTCCGCCTACCCCTGTGTAATGTCATGGTGTGTCCTGTCATCGCTGGGCGGTGTGCCATCCCCCCCACTGCAGTCGTCTCCCGGGAGTGAGGGCGTCCTGAGGGGCGGCAGCAGGGGTGAGGGGGTAGTGGCGAGTGCACCATTCGATGACAAAGTGCCCAACCGGCTGCTGGATGAAGACACACACTCACAGGCAGGACAGGACAGGACAGGAATGCATCCCTTTTCGCCCTTCATTCAGGTCGCCCACAGACGCCCATACATGTTGAGTGGGAGTAGGGGCGGTGGCGGCTTCACCCTCGAAGACCGCAGCTGGTCGACCAAACGAGCCCTGAGTGAATGGGCGAAAGGAGGCAGGCAGGCAGACAGGCAAATCGAACAACAATTATGGATGGGGAGGCGGCTTAGTATATAATTCCTCTCTTCAATAAATGCTCACTTCGTGCTGGTGCCTGCGGGGTTTTCTTTCTTGCTCTGGTCGTTCACCGACATGATGGGCATGGGCAGATGGCCTTGTCTCCACTTCAAGGGCGCCATGCTGCACAAGAGGAGAGCAGCAGGACACGTGAGAGCATCCATCCGTCCATTCATTCATTCTGACGTGTGTCAGTCTCTGTCCTTGCCTGACCTGGGGGCCCTCGCCACTGTGTCCACTGGCTGCCCGCCCTCGACAAGGTGGCCCATATCGTAGTATCTGTACTCTCCCTCCCCACTATCGCCCAGCCCCTCGCGCCTGACACGCCGCTTCTGTTTCTTGGGCTTGTTTCTCACTCTCGTGGGCGCGCGCGGCTCGCAGAGGCCATTGTCATCATCCTCAATGTCGCCGGCGAAGCGGTCCTGGAGGGCGGAGATCATCTTGCCTGCGAGGCTGCTCGATGTCCCTTTGCCGGCAGTGGGGGACGTCGTCGTCTCCTTGCGGGGGGGAGGGCCGAGGGCAGCATTGACGAGGACCCTCGCTGAGTTGAGCCGGAGGACCTCGTACTTTGGGAGGCCTGCTGGCAGATACACACACACGAGGGAAAGGCATATGGACGAAGAGAGGGCTAGTGCTGTTCGTTGTTCGTTCCATACCATCCGAATGGGTGCTTTCCAACATCATGGACTCCTCACAGCTACCAGAGACCGTCTGTAGTCCTGCAAAGGGCCAAACACCAGCAATGCGTGGGCTCTGGCTGATGATGGTTGGCAGCGTAGCGTGTGTCCACCTCACTCACCTATGATGGCCACCTTGGAGCGCCGATCGGTTGTCAGGTCCGCGAGCACCGACAGCGGCAACGTGTCCATATGCGGGATCACGAAAAACCTGCACACGACGGACACATCAGACAGATCCATACACCCATCCACCCACACACAGCATCCCTCCCTTTCTCCCTCCCTCCCTCCCTCCCTCCTTCTTATTTTGGCCCACCAGATGTTCCTTTTCCACTTGAGTTTGTCGAGCATCCTCTCCACCAGCAGATGAGCGTCAACAGGGCCGCCAGCAGGCGGGTCTCGACTCTTGTCGAGCATGTCGTCCACCTCTCGCAGGATGGCCATCTTCCCGCCCTTGGGGCGGGGCCACATGGCCATCGAGATGGCCCGCAGCACCGCCACAGCATCGTATACTCCACTCCCGCCGTTGGACGGCGAGAGGCGCAGCACAGAGGGGTGGGTTGGGGTCGGCTTCGAGCTGGTCTTGAAATGGGTCGCCATGCTGGAAGCAAGTGTGCTCTGGACGAGATTCTCCACCTCGAGGGCGTCGAACATCGTCGAACGGACCACCATCAGGTCTCCACAACCCTCACTATTGCATCTGCAACACACACAGTGGCACAGATTCTGCCACACGCGGCCATGCACACCTCGTGGAGCACTGAGTGCACCGGTGTGTGACCTCACCGTTCGATGAAGGCGTCGAGGTCCTCCATCTTGCTATGGGTGGCAGATTCCGCCTTCTGGGCCGTGATGGGCGACATCTCTACCGCTGGAAAGGCTGGCAACGACGCCGTGACGAGGTACCGTCGGGCCCCCTGGTGGCTCGTCCTGGCCTCAAAAGGCTCGTCCGCCGCTATTGGCCCCCCCTTCCTGACCCGCTTCAGCAGCTGCGTCACGTCGCCCAGCTTCCAGCCCTTGTTCGGGTCGCGAGTCACGCCCCGATCGGCGGCGAACAGCTCCTCCTGGCTGTCGTGGAAGGGCCCAGCGACCACCCCACACACGCCCTCTGCACCATCGACGCTGCGCACAGAGAACTGCACCCCTGGATAGGCCGGGTGGTAGAGGGTCGTCCTGGTGGGGTCGCCTCGCTCGCCCAGCAGCTGTAGAAGGCCGTCTTGCTGGGAGGAGGGAGGGCCGTTCGGGTGAGATGGGGAGGGGGACGGGTATGTGGCGGCCGCTGACATTGACTGTAGATCGGGCATGGTGGGCATCGAAGCGGCAGCCTCCACCCCATCTGCCGCACTGTCCTCCCGCACGACGCCGCCAACAGAGTGGCCCTCCTGGTCGATGTCCATCGCCGCTACTGAGGCCGCTGCGGATGGCTGATGGGCCGCTGTGGGATTTTGCATGGCTGGAACGACGCAGGCAGCCTCAGCCCTGGACGAAGATGGAGCAGCGGAATCAGCGGATGAAGGTGGCTGGCCGAGATGGGCGGCTTGGGTCGCCATCGTCACTCTCGTTGCTGCTGCGTTGTTGGCTGTGTCATCGACTGTCGTGCGTCGTCCCTCAAGCCGGAGTATTGCCCTGCGGACGTCAAATGGTTGTAGTGACTGATCTCGGTGGGTGAAGAACCACAATCAGCAAGGCTGTTCAGCAGAGATCTACCACCAAGGGCATCGTTGGGCCACGAAACCGGCGAGAAGGGAGGAACAGGATGCCGACCTCCGCTTCTAAGCTCGCAGTTTGAGAAAGGAACGACTCATCAGAATCGAGCCGTGAGGCCTTTCGCGTGCGGCGATTAGCTTGTACCGTTGATCCACCCATTGATCCATCGCAAAATGCTCGGCAAGAAGCGCAAAGTGAATGATGGTGCAGCGGCTGCGGCTGCCGCTGGCCAGCCGTATGACGATGACCAGCACCACCCCGCTCCCCGTATCGGCCGCCAATCGCTCGACAGGCTTCTCGCATCGGCTATCGCCGCCCTGCTCGCTATCAAGAACGCCGCCACGGCCGCCATCCAGCAGCTGCAGACCAAAGCCGCGGCCATCAAAGAGCTGATTGAGAACACGGGCGGCAAGTTGGAGCTGACGGGCGGCATCGAGGGGGAGGTGGAGGTCAATGTGGGCGGCCGGGTGGTGGGTGTGTCGCGCAAGGGGCTGATGCTGGATCAGCTCCGCCGCACCTACTTCGCCCATCTGCTGCTGTACTGCGTGGACGCCCTGCCCCGCGATGAGGAGGGGCGGCCCTTCCTCGACGCAGATCCAAAGTATGTGGACTGGTGAGCGGAGGGAGGGGGAAGGGGAAGTTGGTCATTCATTGTGTGTCTTCTCCTGTGTGTGTCAGGTTGTCTGATGAGATCTCCATGGTTGAGGCTGCAGACGCCTCAGCTGAGCAGCACGAGATCAAGCTCGACGACACACAGCAGGAGGATCCCATATTCGCCTTCTACCACAAGCTCTTCCTCACCCACACGCCACTCGACATCGACACACCATCACAGGACGTCGACATGGACGACGGAGAGGCGGAGGGGGATAAGGAGGGGGGCGATGAGGGTGGCAGCGGGACGGACAGCATGGGAGATCGTTTGCGTGAGTATGTGGAGGGCTACAATGCGGCGGTGGCGGAGCTGGAGGGGGCGGCGGGGCATCTGAAGGACTTCGGCAAGGCGATGGGGCCCTTCCTCCGAGCAGAGGACGGCACTGCACACGAGGTGAAAACCGTGACCATCCTGCGCAAGAAGGTGTCGACCACCGAGGCGACGCTGTCGCAACCCGGCCCCGGCAACCCCCTCTACAAGCGATTCAGGTCAGAGCTCGGCCGCGGCACATACACTGCAATGGACACGTGTTGTCTGTTTTGTGTCTGTGTGTTGTGCAGTGGTGAGATTGTTGGCGACGTACCCATCCGGC